TATTAGAGGAACTGTGAACAATTTAAGTTTTGGGTCATTTTACCACTGGGCTTAGGTGGTTTTGGGTCCAGAAAAAAATAACTTTTTTAGCTATCTACTTTTGATCAGCACCTCTTGAAACGCCTTTTTAACATGGTGCCTCAAAACTTTTTTTCGAGGACAAACTTGTCTTTTTCTTCAAGTTATGTTCCAATCACAGCTAGAAAAAGACAAGTTTGTCCTCGAAAAAAAGTTTTGAGGCACCATGTTAAAAAGGCGTTTCAAGAGGTGCTGATCAAAAGTAGATAGCTAAAAAAGTTATTTTTTTCTGGACCCAAAACCACCTAAGCCCAGTGGTAAAATGAACCAAAACTTAAATTGTTCACAGTTCCTCTAATAATTGCCTGAAATTTTGTGGGGGTGTTTACCTATGGGTAGGCACCATTTGAGACAAAGAGGAGCGAAATCGCCGATGGTCTACTTCAAACGGCCCTGATATGCCCAAATCTTCAGTAAAAATAGTGAAATTGAGCAACTTTGAGAGCCCGTAGCATCCAAACCCGACGTCGTAGAGCCTCGTTCGACACGGCATTCGAAAGAGCGCATTTTTTTGAGTATCTGAGACCCATTTGGGTACTTTTTTGGATCTCGGTTTGCGAGAACCCATCTAGTCCCAAACCCTCGAAAACAGCTGTTTTTGGGGTGTTTAGACCCGTACCAAAGCCACAGGGGGTGTCGGATTTCGTCCAAGTGTCTTTTCGGCAGTTCGTATACATACAATGAACCGATAAAACACCACAAGCGCCCGCTCCTAGGATGTCGCCGACCAAGTGTTTTTTTTTGTCTGGAGCTTCTCTTAATAACATATGGTTGACAATTCACTGACATGAGATGAACTGAATTTTGTAAAGGTCCTGAGTTGACACAGTTCTAGGCACTAATCTGCATGCCTTAATTTACGGGAAAGGTTTGACCTTGAGACTTGAAATTATACACCTCGTTAAAACTTCTAAAGGGTTTTTCTGATTCTTTTAACAAACAGATTTTCGTAAAGAACTTGACATAACATTTAATAAACGCACAAAAATATTGGGTTAAAAAGATTCGAGAGAGATCGAACCTTCCAACAAGTGGGCATCCAGGCCATTGTGATTTCAGTGATGAACGCAGGGGGACAGGATTGTGACGACGTCACACTGCAGAAAATAACCACAACAAAAGTACACAAATTTCTGGCAAATTTTTTATCAGAAATTTAGTGTACTTTTTAAGTACAACAATTGTTGTACAAAGTACAACGGAACCGGCATGACGAGTGCTGGGCAGTCCAGGGCTCGTTGTGGTTTGTACAATTCTCGTTGTACTTTCTACAATCCCGAGGGGGCAAAAACTCGGGATTTTCGTGTACACATGATTCGGAAGACGCAATGATTGCGCATGGTTTTAATTGATTTCATGGCTGATTTTGCCTTATTTCGCGACGCACCAGGGTGATATTGAGCGTGGTTGCGTGTGATTGTGTTCGGAAAGGAATGATTTCGGACTGATTTGGCCTGGTTTCGTGTGATTCTGCCCAATTTCGGTCGATTTTAGTGATTTTGGATTGCTTGATTTCGCGTGATTCTCAATGATTCGCGTGTGATTTCGGGGGCCGTGTACACATGATTGCGCGAGTTTTTGCCCCCTCGTACAATCCCTATTGTACTTTTATTGTACAGTTTTTGTTGCACTTTTGTTGTACTATTCACACTTTTACTTGCAGTGCACATTACGTAATACCGTAAAGCCGCCGCCGCTACATCTATTTAAGTTGTGGACCTTGCACCGAGGCAGACGGCTAAAGTCACTGCAGACCGCCTCACTCCCGGCATTGCGTTTGTCCAGGTCCTGCCTCCGGGGACTCCCCCCGCCCCACCCCTTTCCTTCCCCGACGCACACACACACACACACACACACACACACAACCTCTCCCGGGTCAGCCTGTTGGTCCTCCATGTCAAATTTGATCTGCGGATGTGTACCGTACCCGTGTCCGAGATTTGCCATAATTGCCCCTGGGGGGTGCCGGGCCCGGCCGGGCTGGCCAGTGGCCGCCAGTGGCCGAGGAGCGCGGCTGGCCGGGCTTGCTGCACGGCGCTGCAGCCCCTCCCTGCGGAGCTCGTTGAAGCTACACGCTCCGGCGCACAGACCCTTAGGGCCGGAGTGGCGTGGCGTGGCCGTCTTGAGGAGACGAAAGGGCAGGGGGGGTGGTGTCCTCGACTCGGTCTGCACCCCTTGTCGGTGGTTGGGGTGCGGGGCATTCATAGCCTTCTGTGGTAATGGTTGCAAGTTGTGCCAGACGGAAATAGGCCGCGCGGTGTGTAACTGCAAGTGTAATGCCCCGTGCAATCACGGTCGCGCTAAAGAGGCATTGTTTGGAAATTGTTGATGCGGTTGCTCGCTTGCAGCCGGAACAACGCCGAAATTGAGGGTCTGCTCGGAAGTCAAAGAACGTCGGAGAGTTTTTTAGGGGTTCCGACGAAGGAGGACCCCTATTGCCCGGGACGGCTCAGATTTTTTCTTCCGCCGACGCAAATCTAAAAATGGTTCCCGCCAAATTACTCCTTATCATAAAAAAATGAAGAATTCCTGAAAATTTTGAAAATTTATCGTAAGAATTTAACGTAAACGACAAAAACATAAATTTGCAACAATGAAGCACCCTTATCCCTTCACATTTTCCAGAAACGTTTCAAAGACAAAATGTGCTACTCCCCAAAACTAAACCTCCTGCCTCATCAAAGTGACAAGAAATCGTCTGTGTTCTGAGAAAATGGTTAAAACATGAAAAAAAGTCTCCATGGCAACGACACGGTGTCATCGTACCAACTGTCAAAATTTAAAGTCGCCGATAAAAAGAAATCAAAACGCCGTGAAATTCGAAAATGCCAATGCTAACGCATTGCACGGTGTCTCGACATTGGAACATCTTTGAAGTCTGTCAGTAAAAAGTCCGTAGCAAAAAAGACGCAATAAATGAATCGTCGGGGGTTGGCAACAATTTTCTCGGCGTCTGCGCCCTTTCGAAAATCGCGAGGCTGAAAAAACGAGTAGTCGCGCATTGAAACTGCCCCTCCATTGTTGCTGAGGTTGAATTGTTTGGCTTGCTTTTAAAGGTTGCGGTTCTCTTGTGATGTTTTCCTCAATTCTGTAACCAGCACGACGTTGGTTTGACGAACTTAATAAACTCGGGAGAGGTGGTTTCGGAACGCGGATGACTTTCGTTTGACGAACATGAGCACTGTAAATCGCGAGATCGCGAGATGGACTGAGATGGTCATTGTGTTAACTGAATCAGGTTTGGGGATGTAAAAATGCCGGTAGGATTCAAAGTTACGTAAATAACGGTAAAATTAACGTAATTAACGTTTAGACGACAGACTTCAAATTCATTTCCACAACCGGAACACCGTGCAATGCGTTAGCATTGGAATTTTTTTTTTTTTTTGAGAGTTTGGTTGGCAAAGTATTGAAATAATATTGTCCTCACCGAGGACTGCTCCGTGCTCTTTTGACCATGAATATTGCCATGTGTGTGAATGTTCAAGCCTACAAAATGATAACATAAATTGGGGACAATATTTCCATGTTGTGCTCAAGTTCTCATAAAATTGTATTTAATTTTATGTTCAACTTTTAACATGATTTACACCGCGCAAATATGAAATACTTGTGTTCAAAAAGACTACAAACATTTAGTGTGCAATCAACCCTTTTCCCCCTCCCCTGTCCCCTTGCACCTCCGAATCACAACGCTAGTCCTGCAGGTATTGATACAGATTTCTGGTCAAGTGCTTTATCAGTCCGGTCACGCCATCTGCTGAGCGATAAGAACACCGAGAGGCGCTCTTCGTGCAATGTGCACTATACACTAGGATGAAGTCACGTGACTGCGAGCTGGTGCAACATTTTTGAAATAGTTTCATCATGTGTGGAAATATTTGACCCGTTTCATTTTTTAGAAAAAGGAACGGGAGGGCACATGCATGTTTCTGCGTGACAGTGTGCAATTTGCCTCGAAAGGCTGGTAGCAGGAAAAAATAATATTGTAGGTCAGCGCCGCCGCCAGTTGGTACCGAGCAGCATGTTTACGATTTCCCACGGAAGGGCCGTTGTGTCGATGTAAATGATTTTCATCTGATTATTTACGAATTAATGCTTTCTGTTAGGGGGCGATTGATCAGACATAAGAAGGGTGCACTATAAAAAATCACAAAAGTTACTTATAAAACTTTCATGTACGAAACACAAACACACGTACACACCAATGAAAATGGCCTAAGTTCAAAAAAATATTTGAACGTCAAAAATTCATAGTCTAACATCTAAACCAAAACTGTTTCAACGAAAGTCACATCACATTCATTCACTAACAGCGTATGCCTGGTGCAAATAATGTAATGACAAGTTGAACTTGCGCGAGGCACGTCCTGCTAATTAGTGTTGACTCGGTTATAAAACACGTGCGAAATGTTTCTGAACCCGTGTAAATCTTGTCAGAATGTCAGAAACCTGTCTGAAAACCTGATCAAAATTCGCGCACCTCTGAAAGCTGAAAACATCTCCTGACATTCTGTAACACTCATACCATCAATATCAGAGTAAGTTTACAGAATTTCAGCTTTCAGAGGTGCGCGAATTTTGATCAGGATTTCGGACATGTTTCTGACATTCTGACAAAATTTACACGAGTGTGTACAGCTCTGAACGTGATGTTACACAATATTAAACCTGTGTACTCTAGAAACTCGAGAAAGTGCATGGCATGCTGCACCTAGGAGTCAACCACAAAGCACGCTTCACCCAAGAGAGTGCTTGTAAGCATGCTCTTCCTTGGAGTGTGCTTGCCATGCATGCTTCAGGTAAGAGTGTGCTTGCAAGCACTCTCTTCGGTGAAGCGTGCTTTGTGGTTGACTCCTAGGTGCAGCATGCCATGCACTCTCTTGAGTTTCTAGAGTATGCACTAACTCGTGCCAGTCTTTCGTACGAAATTCTACAAATGCGCATAGTTTTGACCGTCACTTCCGGTTTTGAATGAGCATGGGGAAGCCGTTGACGGGTCTCGGGAAGAAGGCCTTGGGGTCCAGGGCGGGCTCCACCTCGAACTTGGGGCCGCGCGAGAACTCGAAGTCGCGCAGCAGGGTGGCGAGGGCCAGCTTGAGCTCCAGCATGGCGAAGCGCTCGGCGACGCACATGCGCGGGCCCTCGCCGAAGGGGATGAAGGCGTACGGGTGGCGCTGGTCCCTGGCCTCGGCCGTGTGGCGGTCGGGGTCGAAGCGCTCGGGGTCGGGGAACAGCGCGGGGTCCCGGTGCATGGTGGCGGACATGATGGTGACGGCGACGCCCTCCTCCACCACCACGCCGCCCACCGTGGCTGTCGCGTTGCACTTGCGGAACACGGAGCCGACGGGCGCCCACAGGCGCAGCCCCTCCAGCAGCACGCGCTCCACCAGCTCCATGTCCTTGAGGGCCTCGTAGGAGAGCTGGCCGCCGTGCTCGCGGACCACGTCGCGCACCTCGTCGGCCACGCGCTGCTGCAGCTCGGCGTCCTGCGCCAGCTGGTGCAGGCAGAAGGACACCGTGTTGGCCACGTTGGCCAGCCCCGCCACGAAGAAGATGAAGGCCTGCGCCGCCATGACGCCGGGGGTCATGGCAATGTGGTTGTCCGGGTCCGACAGCCCCAGACCCTGGTCCCGCACCTGGGTAAAATTCAAGGGGATTGACACGACCTGAACCTCATGTCGTCAGAACTTGATGAAAGTTGGCTCAAATGTTACCCCCATAGGGGTAAGTAAGCCCACAAAATTTGAACCCTCTAGCTCAACTAACATGGGCGCAGTGAGCAATCTAATTTTCGCCTGAAATTCATTTTCACCTTTTTCAGCAAAATGCACATTTTTGGAAAAGTCGTCGCGCTGGCCGCCCCGACGGCCTTTCCTCCGCCTGATCGACGTTCCTAGACTCAAAATTGTCTGGGGAATTCGAATCTGGCGTCGGTTTTCCGATAGCGTTCCGATAAAAATCCAAAAATGGCACTTTTTTACGGAAATTTAGTTATTTTAGGGGTTCACGCGACAGGCCGTATCCACTAGCCCCCAATCCAAACATGCCCGTTTCAACTTTTTTTCAGTTAAGGGACACCATAAGCTTAATTTTAAGATGGGCCCCGATATTGTGTATGGGTCTCGTTTAGGAGCTAGCCCTATGCCCAACTTTTGACTTTTCCCCTAAAACTTGTTTTTCTATGAAACCTTTAAAAAGGCATGGCCTCCTCAAAAAACGTCCTAGGCGGCAAATAAAGTAGTCTAACGGACGCAGAATTTCCCGAGGATCACGATGCTGCACGTGCATATGAGTTTTGGGGCCTCAAACACAGTCAAAACTACAAAAAACAACAAATTTATTTTAAAATGCCACAAAATGATGAACGGCAATTACGACCCTTTTCCCCGTCGCAAGGCCGCTTTCCCGTTGTCTACTCGGACTCCTTGGAGTTTCCACTTTGAGAATAAGCAGGAAAGGGTCAGCAGCCCACACTGGAAACTGCGGATTTCCCCATAAGGGCGAGGCACCGCGCCGCCCAGGTGGGCAACCAGTTTGACGCACCTCTTGGCCACAGGCAGTGGAGGTCGCGCGCGCCGCCCGGGTAGGCAACGGCATTTGGTCTTTGGACCTTCCTTTAGGATGCTATTATTACGGAGTGCGATTATTCACCTTAGTTTGGGTGCAGTATTGTCTCAAAGTTGATCAAAACCGACTTTAATGGCATTTTTGACCGTTTTGATCAACTTTGAGACAAGACTGCTCCCACTAAGGCGCATAATCGCACTCCGTAACAAAGGCATGCTAAAGGAAGGTCTAAAGACCAAATGCCCGTTGAGAAAGTATTAAGGCCCGCCTCGGATCAGACGCAGAGGCTGCTTAAAGTCGGCCCAAAACATGATTTTTCTAAGGCTTTTTTGACCGTTTTGAATAACTTTGAGATAACACTGCTCCCAAACTAAGGCATATAATCGCACTCCGTAACAAAGGCATGCTAAAGGAGGGGTCCCGTGGGGTTGCGAAATTTTTCCTGCTCTTCAAACCGACAAGCGTATGCTCTAACTTAAGCATGCCTGCAAGCACGCTCTAGCTAGCGCCTGCCTGCCAAGCGTGCACACTGTGGCAAAAAGGTACGGAAAATTCTGTTAATTTTTTTGCCAGGATTCTACGTAGCCCTCTTTTCAATATTCTCCGTAGGCTCTTACAGTATTCTCCGTAGGACCGCACAGTCTTCTCCGTAGGGCATGGAAGACTGTATAGTCCTACGGAGAATACTGTAAGGTCCTACAGAGAATACTGTGCGGTCCTACAGAAAATACTGTAAGAGCCTACGGAGAATACTGACAAGGGGGCTACGGAGAATCACCACAAGCTGTTTACAGAATTTTCCGTAGCTTTTAGCCACAGTGCACTTACTAGTGCATACATGCTATGTACACGCTAACTGAAGCATGCATCTAGTGCATAATGGATAGGGAGTTTCCTGCATCAGAAAGCGTGTACATGGCATGTATGCACTAGTAAGTGCATGCTTGGCAGGCATGCGGTAGCTAGAGCGTGCTTGCAGGCATGCTCTAGTAGGAGCATACAATGTACGCTCTTCGATTTGTAGAGTAGGGGTCGCGGAAATATTTGGCTACAAATTTGGAGTCGCGAGCCGAAAAAGGTTGAGAACCCCTGTTTTAGAGGCAATGTAGGAAAATGAAAAAAAATCGTTCACAAAGGTGTTCAAATTTGTTCCAATTCCTTGGATGAGGCCGGATTCACGTTAAGAGACATCGAAGTCTGTGGAAACGTCACTTGGTGCGACTGTTTATTATAGTTTGCATGTAGTTTTTTTAAAAAATGTTCAATTTGAACACATTGAACGTTTCTGGCCAAACGGTCCGAAAAAATCCAAAAGACTTCGTACAGAATCGTTTCTTATACCTTTGAGAGCGTCTCTGTCAAGTACATCACTGCATCACTGAATGTGCGACTTTTTTGGCTAGCGCGGCCACAGGGCCGGGCCAGGCGGGCCCGCGCTTGCGCCGAGAGCCGCCGCGCGCGCTGTGAAAATTGTGAAAATAAAATTCTAACTTTGTCGGCCTAAAAGTCAAAAGTATTTCATCTACGCTAAATCTGAAGGCAGTTTTAGATTCCTTGTTATATTTTACGTTGGATAGAATTCTTCGCGTGTTGAAATCGGTCCACTGGAAACGAAGCTACGTCAAAAACGGACGAACGGCAATTTCCTGGAATTTCCTTGAAAAATAGCCGATTACTGGAATCCTAGGGGACGAATCAATTGTAACTATCAAATTGTATCTATCAAATTGTAACTATACGTCCATACTACAACTGTGCAAAAGCTCAATATCTGGTCATGACGTACAGCTTTTTTCCGTGAGGCCCACCGCCTATGCCTACCCGGGCGGCGCGCGCGACCTCCACTGCCTGTGGCCAAGAGGTGCGTCAAACTGGTTGCCCACCTGGGCGGCGCGGTGCCTCGCCCTTATGGGGAAATCCGCAGTTTCCAGTGTGGGCTGCTGGCCCTTTCCTGCTTATTCTCAAAGTGGAAACTCCAAGGAGTCCGAGTAGGCAACGGGAAAGCGGCCTTGCGACGGGGAAAAGGGTCGTAATTGCCGTTCATCATTTTGTGGCATTTAACATAAATTTGTTGTTTTTTGTAGTTTTGACTGTGTTTGAGGCCCCCAAAAATCAAATGCAGGTGCACCATCGTGATCCTCGGAAATTCTGCGTCCGTTAGACTACTTTATTTGCCGCCTAGGACGTTTTTTGAGGAGGCCATGCCTTTTTAAAGGTTTCATAGAAAAACAAGTTTTAGGGAAAAAGTCAAAAGTTGGGCATAGGGCTAGCTCCTAAACGAGACCCATACACAATATCGGGGCCCATCTTAAAATTAAGCTTATGGTGTCCCTTAACTGAAAAAAAGTTGAAACGGGCCTGTTTGGATTGGGGGCTAGTGGATACGGCCTGTCGCGTGAACCCCTAAAATAACTAAATTTCCGTAAAAAAGTGCCATTTTTGGATTTTTATCGGAACGCTATCGGAAAACCGACGCCAGATTCGGATTCCCCAGACAATTTTGAGTCTGGGAACGTCGATCAGGCGGAGGAAAGGCCGTCGGGGCGGCCAGCGCGACGACTTTTCCAAAAATGTGCATTTTGCTGAAAAAGGTGAAAATGAATTTCAGGCGAAAATTAGATTGCTCACTGCGCCCATGTTAGTTGAGCTAGAGGGTTCAAATTTTGTGGGCTTACTTACCCCTATGGGGGTAACATTTGAGCCAACTTTCATCAAGTTCTGACGACATGAGGTTCAGGTCGTGTCAATCCCCTTGAATTTTACCCACCTGCATCAGCAGGTGCACGAAGTCGTTGCGGACCACGGCGTTGCTCTCGCGGTGCTCCACCGTCTCGCGCATCAGGTCCATGAAGAAGCGGTGCGTCTCGCTGTACAGCAGCTTGAAGGGCAGCAGCACGCCCAGCCTGGGGTGCACGGCCTCCAGAATGAAGCGCAGCCCTTGCAGCGTGGTGGAGCGGAACAGGCCGCGGCTCATGGCGAGGAACTCGGCGTCCTCGTCGGCCAGGCAGTTGCAGTTGATGCCGAAGGCCACCGAGCCGATGACGTCGGTGGCGAAGCGGCTCAGCAGCGCCTGCACGTCCACCTCGCTGCCGGGGGGCTTGGCCTCGCCCGCCACCGCGGCGCTCAGCTGGTCGCCGATGTCGCGCATCAGCGGGAACATGAGCTTGAGCTTGCCGGCGGTGAAGGCGGGTGACAGGCAGGTCCGCAGGTTGCGCCACTTGGCACCGTTCAGGTTGAACAGGTGCTGGCTGAGCGCGTCGCTCTCCGAGCTGGGCAGCCCGCGGTCGTGGAAGCTGGAGAAGTCCTTGCAGAGGATCTGCTTGACCATCTCGGGGTCGAACACCAGCAGCATGGGCTGCCCCCACATGTACATGCCGCAGTAGCCCGCATCGCGGTGCTGCGCGGCCAGGTCGTGGAAGTGGTCCATGAAGCTCTTGCGGCCCAGCAGGAGGGGCGCCATGTGCCCGACGAAGGGCAGGCGGCCGGACGGCGTGGGGACTCCGCGGCGCCGCCAGTAGCCGTGCCGGTACCGCGACCAGAGGAAGGCCGCCGCCAGCACGGCCAGGGCCGCCGTCAACAGGGTCGCCGCCTCGACCATCTCGGGCTGCAGGACAGTGAGGCCCGCGCGTGCAGCAGCGCCGAACTGGCCGCGGCTTGCACCGAGGCCGACGCTCTGCCCTGGCCACATGCTCACTCCTCTCTCTCTCTCTCTCTCTCTCTCTCTCTCTCTCTCTCTCTCTCTCTCTCTCTCTCTCTCTCCTCTCTCCTCTCTCTCTCCTCTCTCTCTCTCTCTCTCTCTCTCTCTCTCTCCCTCTCTCCCTCTCTCTCTCTCTCTCTCTCTCTCTCTCTCTCTCTCTCACACACACACACACATAACCACCACAATCAGTCGTGTGGGTACTGGTGGGGTACAAAAGATACCAACCCCACCCTATCTGTTTGATTACGGAAGAGTTAATTAAGTAGGTAATTTTCGGCATTTTGTCCAACATTTTTGCGTTTGTACATTTGTTCAAGAGTGCAAAATTTTCATACATTTAAAACGTAACATTTTTTTTGTCGGAAGTTCACACGCTGAAAACCTTTACATAGTATTTTGAGCAAATGTAAGGTACCAACTATTTAGTTTTTATACGAAGAAATAGTTAAGAAGTTTTTTCTTTTTAAGCTAATGTATGCTCTAAATACTTTGTTGTGTGACAAGCTTCTTTTCTCTGTAAGGCCTCTAAGTTAGGAAGGTTTACAGGGTGTATAAAGGCTGTCGTGTTTAAACCAAAAACCACACCTTGCTTGTGGCGCCGAGCAGAAGGTTTTAAGGGTGCATAAAGACTGTCGTGTTTAAACCAAAAACCACACCTTGCTTGTGGCGCCGAGCAGTATTGCAATGCAACTTTACCACTCTGGCCTCCCTCCCTCACAAACGTTTCTGGATCCGCCACTGACAGAAGTGGGTGTGAACCCTCTCCCTATGCTTGTTGCCGCAGGGGGTGACTATTCACACGCCGTGCACACACACTGCAAATAAGAGGGCCGCCCACGTGTTGTCGGGGCGCAACAACTATTTGCACGGCGCTGTCGATCCATCACAGTGGGCTGACGCGGAGGCTGACGCGCGGAGTGGCGGGCCATTCGATTTTGGGTGTCATCCCCGCGCAGCGCGCCGCGACCGCGCGGCGCGTCAACAGTGTTATGGAAATGGACGGAGGCGGGGACGGAGGCAAAGTGATAAATCACCGAAATCGGGGAAAACAAACTTCTCTCCAAGTTTAGTGTGGACGCGGCAGGGAAGCAGGCGGACTCCAAAGAGGTGTAAATAAGACTTATGAGGGAGAAGAGAGGACCCTTCAGAACTGCGCGGGAAGGCAGCTTTGTCTTCGGACCGGGAAAGGAATGAACATATGTGGAGCGGATATTGAATAGAAACGAATAAAAAGGGGGCGGCAGTTCCTGCAGGTGAAGTGGTCAAGGCAACTTTTTTCCTGCCATTCCTAGACATAAATACCGGGGAAATCTGTCTCTTCCTGCTCAGTGGCTTCCTCCCGCTGACGGCACGGCACGGCACGGCGTGCACGCAAACCGCCCCGACCAGGCAAAATAAAAATTGCAAAAAAACTACAGCGGGGGAAAAAATGTAAAGGCATGCAGACTGGCCGCGGGGCTCGGCTTTTTGCAGTCGCTGGCTTGACAAAGTGCCCCTCGGGGAGCCGGCGGGGCAGGCCGGGCGGATGGGTACAGCCGCGGCGCGCCCTGCCACGCCTTGCCACGCCCCGCCACGCCTCACCCGCCTCACCACGCCCCGCCACGCCTCACCCGCCTCACCACGCCCCGCCACGCCACGCCTCACCCCGCCCCGCCCCGCCACGCCACGCCTCACCACGCCCCGCCACGCCTCACCACGCCCTGCCACGCCTCACCACGCCCCGCCACACCACGCCACGCCCTGCCACGCCGCCCAGCTTCCAGATCACGAATTTGACTGCCGCTTTATCGCGGACTCATTGCTGCGTCATATGCCGATTCCCGCTCGCACCAGTGATTCGAAAGAGAGAAAAAGAGTGGCAGTGCGTCTCTCAGACAAAAGCGGCGCGCCAAACCGGCGCAGCGCGGGGCGAAGCGCGTGTCTGCCTCGCGCAGGGCTTGACTCCGCAAAAACATCGCTTCAACTTTGAGTGTGTGTGTGTGTGTGTGTGTGTGAGAGAGAGAGAGAGAGAGAGAGAGAGAGAGAGAGAGAGAGAGAGAGAGAGAGCGAGAGAGAGTGAGTGTAGGTGTGTGTGTTTGAATGTGTCCACATTTTTTTCAAGCAGTTTTTCATCTGTATTTTGCATGATCGCCACCACCACACTGCCATCAGAGCCCTCGACGCCGCGGTACATCAATCGGCTGCAGTCAGCCGTTATCAGTCCAAGGGCCCCTTCGTCCGCGGATCCGCGCGCCGCGCACTTCGGCACTCCGCTCTTGCCGACCTGCACTCTCCCTCTCTCTTCCTCTCTCTCTCTCTCTTTCTCCCTCTGGCTCTAGCAGGGGGCACTGCGTGCGAGAGAGAAAGAGCGACGAAAACGACTCTCGGAATCAGCCTGCTGCTGGGCGGCGCCCCTTTCGCCACTACACTGCAGCCGCGTCCCCACGGCTCTATTCCCCGCGCTGTTCGCTGCACCGCTGGGGACCCGTTGGGGGAGGGGGGAGAAGGGGGAAGGGGGAGGGGGGTAAGGAATGTGGGGCGCCGCGTCCAGCGTTAATTTGTGTGTATAATGAAGACACCGTGTCGCTGCGAGCACGCCCGCCCATGCACTTAGATCGCACCCTTCCCCTCGATTCGCCCACCCCCTCCCCTTCATTTCTGCCCTCCCGTCCCCCACCCCTTTCCCTGCCTCCATCTCTCCTCCCCCCTCTCCCTTCCCTGACCTCCACGCGACAGCCCTTAGTCGCCTCCCTGCCCCCTGCCCATTTCACCCACCCCCCACGGTCGCTGTTGCTTCTTATTAGTAAGTCAACGTTCTTCTTCCTGCTTCTTCCCACTTCCCATCTGTGTGTTAGTGTGTGTGAGAGAGAGAGAGAGAGAGAGAGAGAGAGAGAGAGAGAGAACCAGAAATAGACTCACACGAAGAGAAAGAGAGAGAGAGAGAGAGAGAGAGAGAGAGAGAGAGAGAGAGAGAGAGAGAGAGAGAGAGAGAGAGAGAGAGAGAGAGAGAGCGGTCGTGTGTGACCCCGGTCCCCCTCTCCATCGCCGCTCTGCTGAAATATATGTGAAAACCACATCAGTCGGTCATTATACAGGTTGGCTTTATTAATGGAGCCACCGAGGCCCTCTCGCCTCTCCTTTTCTGCCCCCGCCCCCGCCGCGCCCCCCAGAGAGATCCAAATTACGCGAAATGTCCACCGCATTAGAGATGCAATTCAGTTAGAACTGCAGTCGCATTTCGAAGGGTAAATGAGTTTGCGCGCGACTGAGACCTTTCGTGTACAATAATGAGTCTCGAAGGGGACAGTGGCGCGTGGTGCGGAGGAGTTTTAGACTAAGATCCAACCACCCTTAAACAAAAAAACAACAACAAAACAATACTTAAAATGCATTCTCCACGGTCAAAGAAATTGTCTCGACTGCTTTCGAACTCTTTCAGAACGGTTGCGATTGCTGTTGAGTCATTGCCTGGAATGAATACACTGACAGTCGAGGGGTAAATGGCTCAGCGTTTCGCGGTTTACTAGAACTAGATAATACTCATGAATTGGTCATGCTGTTTACATTTAAACGCCTTTTTAGCCTTCTAAAAGATAAACAAACCCGAATCCTGTATAAGTTTGGTTATTTTCGCTCTTTTAAAATTTGTGAGTCTCTGAATTCGGTCTAACGTCTACACGAGTACGCACTAGTGATTGACCCTCGCTGACGTGACCACCCTCCTCACCCCTATAAATCTCTCTCTTTAAAATCAGTTACCACCTTTCACGCAAAAAAAGAATTGTTTGCGGGGCGTTTCTTATCGCAAGGACTTACAGTGTTTCCCCTGCCTAAACCTGCTCTGCTTGTAGTGCCGCCACCCACCACACTGCACTGCTGCCACCGCCACTTCAATATTCAGGTCACCTTCGCCTCTCTCCCGGTGCGGCTTTTCGGCTAACGCCGCGCTTACACCTACACGCAGACGCACCAACACACACACACACACACACACACACACACACACACACACACACACACACACACCGTTCCAGATGCACGCGTAGTGCAGACGCCCGGAGCAAGGAGGTGGAAAAGATGGCGAGGCGTGTAATTATGCACGCCACCGCACAGTGCGCCAGAAGACCGGTGGAGGCGGCTGAAATTCTAACACGCGTTTTGAGCTCTGAAGTCGCTAAACAGGACTCGAACCGAACGTGTGGCCCCACCAATGGATCGATCTCCGAACGAGGAATCCAGTCGTGGGGTCACACGTTGGGGTCGAGTCCCGTTTCGCGACACTGGAGCTCAAAACGCGCCTAGAATTTCCGCCGTCTCCACCGGTCCTCTGGCCTACTGTGCGCCGCGCAGTGGGCTGACTCCGGAAACAGTGCCTTGTTCCTCCGTCTCTCTCGCTCCCGCCATGAGTGCGAGAGAGATCGCGAACACTGGAGAATCACTGTTTGGAAACGGGCCGTCTGCGGTATTTGTTTCTCGGAGTTCAATCAAAATGGTGCGACCTTATTCGGTATGTTTGTTCAGAAAATTGCCGTGAAGGAATTACTAGTGGTTGTTGTTTGAATTGCAAACATTTCGCGCGCTGCCGCGCCGCCTCCTTCCTGCACGCTGTTTTTTGCGTTGTTTTCCCCCGTCGGATTATGTTGTGGCCTGGAAACTCAACAGTATGCATTTCGCACAGCCAGACCACTGTGCCTGCTGCCGTGTGTGGACACTGCTGGCAGTGGAGCCTGGATGCTTCATTTTAACGCGTTTGATATTTTGCGCAAGTTATGAATGAGCACTGTCCTTACCAAAAATTTAAAGGGCTAAGCGCGCCAATACACTGAACTATCCACTGAAAAATTTCGTTAAGTGTTTGTGGGAATGTGTTAGAATGTGCAAGATTTCTAGCGTATTTGCCATTCATGTTGCCCACTTAC